GCCTGGTAAGACACAAGGACAGATTAGAAGAAAGATCTCTGCCTCGCACACATTTCTGCTAAAAAAAAAGAAATAAAAACTGCTTAACCTAAAAAAAAAGAAAATCAGAATTTGAAATTTTATCTTCGCTGGAACACACGTTTGGGTTAATGTTTCTTCCTCGACTCCAACTCGTTTGCAGTGCTTGGCCAGTTATGTTATCCTTTAAAGCCAGAGTACAGCTTTCAAGGAAAAGAAAAGACACTTTTCTGATACGTGGATAAAGCACAGTCACTAGCAGCATGAGATTTCCGACATGTGAGTATAGGCAGATTTGGAACTGTCCACTAGTTTTCCTTTTCAGTGTCGGAGAGAAGTCACGTAACACATTTCTATATTTGTTAGCACATTCTCCTTAAAGAAAATAAAACTTTCACTTACCTTCTTCCTACTCTTTCCTAGACGTCTTGATTTAAAAAAAAAATATAAATGTATAAGCAAATATCAGCGCCGACGGCAAGCGCTAACATGGCATCCCAACTATATGATGTAAACCCAATGACACTAAAGCACTCAAGGTTTAGAATAATAAGATTTGAGTGGGATGTTAAAGACGGCTCGTTGATTTCCTCTGGCTTTTGAAACATGGAAAGGACCTCCCAGACAAAGATCTTATAGTGTTTGTTTTCAAATTATGTTTTCCAACAATCTTTTCTGTCGGTGCACACTGGTTTGGAGCAGAAGTCGTTCTTGTTGAACTCGCTGAGGAACAGACCGTTTGTCTCGTGCGCAGTCCAAAGAACTTTTAACATTTACTAGTAGAACCAGATTTCTACAGCTGGGAGTGTCCATTTGGTTTAGGCATTTAGGGACGACGCCTCGGAATCTTACTTATTACAAAACGCAGATTTTGTGTGTGTGTGTGTGTGTGTGTGTGTGTGTCTACGTTTATATATGGGATCGTATTTCCTACATTTTTCAACCGATGTCAACAAAACTTCAAAGGACTACGTAAAATTACCTGGCGGTGGTTCTGACAGCGCCAAAAATTGGAAAAACACAACTGTTTTTGCATGAAATCAATTTGAAAACACGATTAAGAGGCATTAATGAAAGTGGGCCAACTCATATCAAGTTATACTTATTATAAAACTCAGGTTGTGTGTGTGTGTGTGTTCGTTTATATATGGGATCGGATTTCGTACATTTTTCAACCAATTTCAACAAAACTTTTTTGGCAGGTAGTGTTTCTTATTGTCTTGCACACTTTTTTCTTTATTTTTACATTCAGAATGCTTTAACAATTCCATTTATAATACAAGACAATTGTTTATAATAAAATTCTATTCAATCGGTAGATTCATAACGATCGAAAACAATGTTTTTGTTTGAGTTTGGGTTTCACCAATTCGTAAAAAAAAAAAAAAATAATTAAGACATGCGTGTCCGTCAACCTTACACAATAATCTTTGTCAATTTTATTTTTCAGTCTTTATGATGGTCGATACTTGATCTATCTCTTACTGTTACATCCCCGGGCAACGCCGGGCTTTACTGCTAGTCATACAAAAAAATTGACCGCACGTACGTTTTAAAGACTTCAACCAGACTTAAACCATCGACACTAAAATATTATAATATCCATTATCAAGAATCAAGCCAATTCCAGAAAGATTTTTTCATATATATATATACATATATATATAATGTGACCCCCAAAAAACGGGAACATTTAACAATCAATAAAACCAAGAGTTATGGAAGAAAATATTTTATTCATAGTAATTGAAACCTTACAACATGATGGAATTTTCATATTTTTTAAATTACGTCCTGTCGATGGCGTCCTCCTGTACGAATGCATTCTTGAAATCTGCTGTTGAGATTTCTCATTGACTGCTGGGATATCTCAGCTAGGATACTGTGAATTTCATGTTGAATTCTAAATGGCGAAATGTTTACTTGCTCAAGGTCACTGTCTCGCAGTGTTGCCACTTGCTCATGTCTGGCAATACGCACTTCAAAAATTCCCATTCTT